GAATTTAATAGAGGAACTTGGTTAGATAGATTATGGGGAGATTTAAGAAACCAGGGAGAGGACCATGGAGGCTTTCAGACACTAATAACAGCAGAGAACTGCTCTTTTTCTGAAGATGGAGCTTCCCCGGTGCCTCAGATGGTAAAAACATCTGCTTGCAATGCAGGAGACTGGCTTCGATCCCTGGGTGGGGAAGATCCCCTGGAGAAGGAAATGGCAACCCACTCCAGTACTCTTGCCAGGAAAATTCCACGGATGGAAGAGCTACAGTCCATGGCATCGCCAAGAGTGGGACATGACTGAGCGACCTCACTTTCACTTTCCTGAAGATGAGGGAATTAAAAGCGCTGATCATTGGACCCAAGAGATGAGCATCACTTGGCAGAAGCTGGACCTGTGGTGTGGCCCATTCTAGCAAAGCTGGGAAGAAGATATAATCAATGCTGGAGGCCTCTGACCCAACAAAGAGAAAACGGGTGGAGCTCTACTGCTCTCCAGTCTTAATCTGGGGTTACTATTGGCCAAGTCTAGTGGGCAGCAGCTGGACATGGAGCTCGGGAGATAACCTCAGTGGCCTACACAGCACATTTCATTCCCAGATACGAATCATTTTTTTTCCTATACCTCTCTTCTGTAAAAGAAATTGTTTTCAGTTATAAGTTTCAAGTCAACACTTTTATTATTTATCCTTTAATAAACATGATATTCTTTATAAGTCATTACTCTGAAGAAACTCCAGGAAGTTCATCAAAGGTTAGAGTCATTGGAGGTGGGTAGTTTGTGCCTCCAATTTCTGTAGCACAGACACTGTCAAGAGATAGAAACAGAACTTGATTTACTTTAATTTTGTTTTTTACAACGACTGGGAGTTTTTATTTGTGTTGAAGAAATTAAAGCAATAAAACCAAGTAAACAGAGCAATGATTTGAAAAACAAGCTTTACTGAATGTAACAAATAACTCTCTCTTCAAACAAATGCATGTACCCATGTGTCCAGGCTCACTGTCTATCTATCTACCGACGTATCTATCATCTATCTATCTGTCATCCATGGTAACTACATGATTTTCAAGACTTAGACCGACATAATTTTTCACTTTTTAAGTAGGAGTGCTTTGTCATTGTTTAGAAAGGCCATCCTGTAAACACAATAAAAAGATCAGATTTCTGTGCTGAGTCACATCTGACTCTTTCAACCCAATGGACTGTAGCTCATCAGGCTCCTCTGTTCATGAAATTCTCCAGGCAAGAATAATGGAGTGCGTTGCCATTTCCTACTACAGGGGATCTTCCCAACCCAAGGATCAAACCCTTGTCTCCTACATTGGCAGGTGGGTTCTTTATCAGCTGAGTCACTGGGGAAGCCCCAAAATCAGATTTCTCGGTGGTTTTCTTACTGCTCTTAAATTCTCTACAGATACAATTACCCCTTACTGCCTGCACTTGGTGAGGACCTCAGCCACCACCCACTCTTGGCACACCAGTGCATAACCTGGGGGGACCAACCTCCTGAGGACACAGATCAGAGCAGAGGAAAGGTAAGGAATGGATCTGAAGACAAACAGGCCATGGATGGCCTGCCCTTGTTCATCATGTGAGTTGCTTATTCGGTCTCACTTGATCCCAACGACAGGGACTTTTGAATGCTCTGTTCCATTCTTGGGAGAGGAGATGTTCTTCTGTTCCCATTAAGCTCTAGCTGTGGAAAATTTGTCAAGATTACCACTTGGCCTTTCAGACTAAACACATTACAGAAGTGTCTCTTATCTCCCAGCACTATGAGGACATGAAGGAAATTCTTAACATCCTTGTCTCCACCTTGGTCAGGACACAGATCGTTTCTGTCCTTAAATTCTCAAGCCCATTTGGCAACCCGTCCTTTCTCTGTGTCCCAGTCCCTAAGAACTGAACTAGGATGGTACATAGGTTTCTCCCCAGGCACACACCGAAATCTAGACCATCTTAACTGTTCTTTTTTATTTTACCTTCATCCACAGAAATTATTGCATAATCTTAAGATTCAGAAAAAACCTGATTCTGACTGAGCCATTTTATTCCTTGCCAACAGTCTTCTCAGAATGTAGGCTTTTCAGACTAAAATTCAAGGACTGGTCTTAAAATTTCTGAGTTCTAAAGTTTCATCTCTTCCTCGTGGAAGGAGGGGCTCCATGTTAGTTAAAAATCTCAAATTACTATCCTGATGCATATATATATGTATATATCTTAGTCATTCCCTAAATATTTATTAAGTCTCTACTTAGTATGGCTGACTTCTTGATTTCTCAGTGTCAGTATAAGTCATACAACCTTGTCATTTTCAGTTCTCTTAGCTAAAGTATATGGATAATGATTTCTGCACTGTCTACATTATGGGGTAGCTGTGGAGAGCAACTGAGCCCAACAAAATACTTTTAAATATATCAAGATCTTTCTGCAAATGAAAAGAATTATTAGTGTGCATTTAATTAAGTTTGTATTCTGCAAAGCATTCATCTTTTAAAACATTTTAACCATGTGTGGCTGGATAAGATTATATTTCATCCCTCTCTGATCCTCATTCCAGAAGGAAATTAGCAATGCATTTCACTGGCTCAGTGGGGTAGGTAGTAAAACTGAAAGCAAAATCACCTAGAAAATTTTCCTTTATTTATGCATTTTCACTTCGGAAAGCCTAAGTATGTATGAAATTGCATAAAATTTTTGACAATGGAGGAGGAAATTTGTGGGTGTCATATTTTTAAAAAAGATCTTGTGGGAGAAGGCACAGTTTGCTTCACAATCTGTCTACTGCTTGTAGACAGCTGGTAACCAAGTCAAGAGGTCAGGTTTCCACCATGACTCTGGAAAGTGGTATCATAGATCATTTGGACCCTGGCTGCAATGGTAGTTTAAAGTTCCTCTGGCCATTTTAATATGCAGTGAAGGTTGAAATCTACTTATCCAAGTGGCCAAGAATAAGGGAGTCTCAAGAAAAGACTGCCAAGCATAACAGGGAATTGACTGAGCAGAGAAGCCTAAAGAAACCTTGAGAGCAGATATTAATACAGTAGACATCTTCTCAGAAACCTTTATGGAGTGATGGTTATATACCCATCCCCTGATCCCACCACCCAGCCACTGCTTATTCCTGCAGAAAGACTCCAAGAATTGTCTAAGATGTGAAAAAATGCCCCCAAAGTTGAATCTAAATAAGATTTTAGAAAATGAAGATGCATTTCTTCCACATAGGGGTTCGTGTTATGAGATTTGCATCCATAATACACCTTGAAATTAATTGCAAATTATTTTTTTGGTGTAGTAGGCTAAAGATTTCAGCAAAGAGAGGGAAGCAGAATTATTGTGTTGTTGTTTTTTTTCCCCCAAAAGTACACTTTGATTAATGAAAGCGCAAAGAAAATAATCCTTAGTCCTTAAAATTTTGCCCCGTATTCAGTATTTAATGTTGTCTCTAGTAATTTTATGATTTTACCAAGAGTTATACATTTTACTCTGAGTCTCTGACTAGCAGGAAAACATGCCTCATTTAGATTCTGGGACCCATCCTGCAAGGCTAATTACTTCTTCTGGTGAGCCAAAGGGTAAGACAAATGATTCTATGACAACCATTAAGCATATATCTTGCTTGTCTTGATGTCTTATTTATTTGCCTGTGTAAGATAAATGACTTCTTTTCAACATGCCCAGTGTTTTGGCCTTTCTCAATTAAGTCTGAAAAATAAAACAATCTTAGGAAAAATAAATCTAAATTATTGTTTTTCTTATTTTTATTGCTATGATTTGAAGACATTTACATTTCTTTGGGCTATATCATTAATGTATTACTAATTTTTAAAATACAGTTTTATATTACCAAGGGTTTGACTCATCAAAATATTGTTGGTGGTTTGTAGAATGGAATGAGGGTTTGACATTAACATCTAGCCTTGAGTTATCTCTGATTTAATGTTTCAGAGTTATTAGATGATCTTTTGAGGATAGAATGTCATTTTCAAACTGACCCCCCCACACACACAGGGAAATAGACCAAAATCATTGAAAACATGTAACTATTTTACTTTATTATTTTGTTATAATAAACATGAACATAAAATAAATATTTGGCAAACAAATGTAATCTCTTCACTGAAATTATGTATTGTATATGAAATACATTTTTATTATAAAATAAACACAATATTTGAAAAGTTTAAATTGAATAAACATTAATTGATTCATAAGATATTGGAGGAGCATCCCATAGAAGTGGTCTTGCCCCACAAACTCTGTTTTGCCCCACAGACTTTGTCTACTCATCTCTCCCCTATAATATTGTCATGTTCAATACATAAGAAGTGAAGAATTGAGAAACAAATGCATACAATTTGAGTAAAACAAAATGCTTTATCTATACATATTTATTTGGGAATAAAAAAGGAGGTACTTATTTTGGCCTGACTCACTGCCTGAATCATGAGCTTGAGTCCTCATTCTACTTAGCGTGTATAGACCTGTGCAATGACTAAAGAATAAAACAAGGAACAGAAACCATTCCCTTCAACACCTAGACCTTAATTCATTAATCGGGGCTGTATTTACTTTTGATGGGAATTGAGTGTTCACAGTCTTCTATTGCTGTATCTTATCAAGACAGATGATTCTGTTTGCTTGTAGGTACACATCATAGGTTTTGAAAGCATATTATTTTTCATTTATAAATTGTTTTCCTTTGTATACATAATTCTAAGCAAGTTTAACTATATACATTAGAGGCTTTAAAATCATCTTAAATATTTTAGCAGAAATCAAAGCTCCCTTTCCCTAAAACTGTTTGTTAATACATTTGAGTTTCCTAAAGGATTAACAAATCTTTTCATTGAGCTAGCATTTCCATATTTTGATAAATTCAATTAAAAGCATTATTTGATGTCTATTGTTTTTCAGCTAATTGTTTAAAATAGAAAGAAGCCATCATTTTAGCTGTCATTGTGTTAGTAAAAGAAATATTTTGAAGAAAAGATAATAGGTTATGTTTTAGAATATGCTTTATTGCTATGGCATATCAATAGCAATAGAATTTGGACTTTTTAACAGATAATATATGATAGTGAAAAAAGAGGAATGTATCATTAGATTACACAAATTGGACTGAAGATTGAGTCCAGAATAGTAAATGCATTTAATACACAGGAGGTTAGAAGGTCCAAAGTAAGTCGTTTCTCTTCCTGCCACAGGTGACTACAGTCTATATGCCCTTTAAACTTCTCATCTCAATTTAAGAGCAGCCATAAAGCAAATCCTCCTGCCTGGCATACTTACAGTTTCAGGCAAGCGTCTGTAAAACACCTGGATCATAATCCACAGTTCGAGCTGAAAGCAGGCGTTAGACGTAACTAGTGGAAGTCCTACTGAGCCCCGTCGCTGTCCGGCGTGGATTACGTGCGTGAGGCACACGACGCCCAGGGGCTAAATATCTGTGCCTTGGCTTCTTTCGGTTGCAACAGCAGAACCCGCAGAGCAGACCCCCTCCGACGATGAGGACCGCAGTAGTGGCCCAGCCGACGAAGAGGGAGGCTCCCAGCTCTCGTTTCTGACCTACGTGGACCGCTGGGTTGTAGAAATCCCGGATGATGTCATTGGCCATCCAGCACACCGGAATCAGAACGAAGATCCCGGTCAGGATAAAGAGGACTCCGGAAATTCCCACGAGGTATGCTTTTGCCCTCCGGTCAGAGCCTGTGCACTGAATCTTCTTCATGCCACAGATGCCAACAAGCAAAGCAATCACAGACAGGGCCACAGCCACACACATGAGCGCCCGGGCCGCCTCCAGGGCAGGTGGGAGAGCCAGCAGAGAATCATAGGCCTTGCACTGCAGCTTATCCTTGGCTTGTCGGACGCAGTTCATCCAGAGGCCTTCCCAGACCCTTTCGAAGACAATTATGTTGCTGCCAATAAAAGCCGACACTCTCCACTGAGGCAGAAGAGTTGTGGCAAGGGTCCCGACCATGCCGAAGAACCCAAGAACCAGTCCAGCGATTTGCAGTGGATAAAATGCCATCGCCTTTGCTCTGAAGACGGATCCAGTCTGCAACGGGAGCTGCTCACCATTCAGAGCAGAGAGGCCCCTATGAGTCTACAGCAGCCTCAGTTGATGTTCTATCGCTGTTACTGGGCATGACATTTTAGTCCAAATCCAGAGCAGTGACTGAACTTGGCTTAACTAGAAGTACCTGTTGTAAATGCATGCTGCTGTCCGCATACACATACATTTCTGTATGGATTATTTAGTAGTCATATGGAATTGTTTCCCAGCCAATAAGAAGTAGCCAGAGGTGTGTCAAGAAATACTGCATTCAGTGTTCATATTTCTCATGTTATTGTTGTCTTAGTAATGTTGTAATTAAGTGTCTAAGCCACTATTGTGGACTCTTAATTACAGAGCTGAAAACTTCCTGTTTAAAAACCACTCTGATATTAAAGTATAAATATATGTGTTAAGCCACAACTGAAGACAATACCAAAACCTTGCCACTTCTTTGGAGAGCTTTGAAAAACACTTTGCATTCTAGATAATCTATTATTTTCTGTCAATCTAAGCCAACTTTCTTTAACATAGTTAAAGAATTCTGATATTAAAAAAGACTTCTGGAGTCAAATAAATGTTTAGGTATTATTTTCTACATTTCTGCTAAAATCATCAGTATTCTTAAAAAAGAGGCATGCTGAGCAAAACCTTCAGATTTCATGCTTTTTTATTTCTAAGATCCAGAAAGCAAGATGAAGCACTTATTATTGAACTTACTGGTAATTATTATATTATATGTTGAGTAATAGCTTTCTCTCTAGTGAAATCATGTTTAGTTTATAAATGCTCATTAGCTATTTCTTCAATAGCAGCTTGGAATATATCACATTTATCAAAGTCAAAAATATATATTCCATTTTTATGGCACTGTGTGAAAGTGGCCCTTTGGATTAACTGTGCAATTACTTAAATCCAGGTAATAAAAAGCTTTTTAGAGTTGGAAGACAGTTTCAAAGTCATCAGGCTTAAGTTTCCCATTTGCTAGATGTGGAGTGTGAAGTTTCCGGAGCACTACGCTAGACTAGCTTTGTAATAACTGATCCAAGCTTCCCAGATCCCCTGGAGAAGGGAATGGCAACCCACTCCAGTATTCTTGCCTGGGAAATTCCATGGACAGAGGAGCCTGGTGGGCTACAGTCCATGGGGTCACAAAGAGTCAGACACGATTTAGCAACTAAGCAACAACAACAACAACAACAATGGATCCAGGAATAGAGATTGTCTCTGATTTATGATGTATATCTCCTGTTTCTAATCTGACTCAAAAAGAGGAGGATAGAAGTGCTTTTTAAGAACTTTCATTTGAATGGGACTAAACCTGACTTTCATGACATCCCCTTGATAGTTTTTCAAATTTTCAAAGCAAGTAAAATTCAGTTGAGACTGTTTGAAAGTCCAAGACTCGAGTTGTCATTCTTGATGGCCACATTCCTGCCATTGCTCAGACATGGGGTGGGAAATAGGCTTAATTTGAGAAGCATAAAGATTTTGCTGAATCAAATTCTGAACTGGCCACCACCTTGCTCAAATTTTTTCAGTAGTCCTCTATTGCCCCGAAGATAAAAATTCAAATCCCTTAGCATAATGCAAAAGACCCATCCTTGCCTTGGGCCCTGCCCATTTTAACACTTATCTTTTGAACATGACTCCATCCCATGTCTTCACATTCTACTGCAAGGAATCCATTTCAAGGATGAAAACTACTTGAAAGCAAGCACACCGAGTATATTCTAGGTAGGAGGCATTACCGCTTCCAAAAGGTCCTCCATTTCAGTCAACAATAGGCCAAGAGATAATGGGTGGTCCAATACTATCCAGGTTTAAAAAACCCATTGATTTAATTAGAATATGTGAAAAAATTCAGTTTCAAAAAAGGGTTGTTTATCTATCTGTCTACCTATCTACGCATCCATCTATCATCTTTCTATCTTATTTGCTGTTTTTGTTGCTTTCTTACTACCATCCTAGACCAAAGGAGCATTTCCTCTCAAAGAAATGTGAATCATTGAGGAAACAGATGACTTCTGTATAGTTCAGTTTCCTAACACCAGCTCAGGATGAAGGGTTTTCTCGGCCCTTTGTTTGAGGTTGCTGAGACACAAGTTTAACCATTCCCACCCTGAAGGGATTTGCCAACACTATTCTGACTTATTACTTCTATTTCCTCTTCCTCATTCTTCCTCATTTTTACTCCTATCTTTTTTTTTTTTTTTTGTCCTGGAAGTTTCTAACTTCCGGTTTGATTTTTCATCAGATAGAATCTGTCTGTATTACAGATAAACACAAGAAGGGGCATATGTTTACTTAGAATACAGAGGTACATCTTAAGTATAATCTGAGAAGCATAAATAATGCAAGAGCTTCAGCTTCCTTTTGCTTCTCATAGCCAATTGTCAACACCATCATGACTTTTAAAGGGAGATATTGTTTTTCTGTCCAACATTTCTGTGACTCTTATCCCCTTCCACTTCCTCGGGGGCCCCTGGTCCATTGAAACCCCATCTCTTTATAGCACCTACAGCTTCTTCATCTCTCTGAGTTGGCCTTTGGAATAGAAACATACTCAATTATCTTTCATATTAAAATTCTATTCTGCCTGATCTGTATCCCCTGGTATGTATTCATATATATCTTTTTGATCCACCTTCACATTTTCCACTTGCTAGAAATGTAACAGAATTTTGGGACATCTACACTATTGTATTTGAAGATTACTTTCATATTCTTACTTAATTGTCCTTTCTGTAAAGATCAAAATAAACCATCATCTTCTAGTTGAGGTAGTAAACAGCACAAGCCTTGGAGAGAGTTTGTTTCAGTCTTGGCTTGATGCCTTGGCCATCAGATACTGGCCTGTTTTAAACTTCTCAAAACTGTCTGTTCTAAAAAAATAAGATAATAATGATACCAACCTCATAGGGCTTCTTTGAAGACTAAAAATATGTGCAAAGGACCTGATTTTGAGGAAGTACCTGGGGAAGGCTTGCTGTAATGTTTGTCTCTTTTGCCTCTGTTACATTATCCTGCTTACTTCTTCTCTACTTGCTCATCCTTGGTCTTTTCATTATATTAGTGCCATGACCCAGGTTCATTGGGTCTGGTTGCTCCAGGATTCCATATATACCTTAATACCCTTCTCTCCTAGAACATGCTGTCTGGGGAGTTTCACCCAGGGCCATAACTTTTACTATGTCTTGTTGGGTTACAAGTGTCTAATCTGTTATCGTCAACCCAGGCCTCTCTCTGCTTATGACCCTGGGTTTTTGTTTTCTTTTGCTTCTCCCAGCCCCTCAGTCAGTAGGAAACTCTGGAGCTCCTATGCCCTTCCACGTGCTGAGAGTGCTCACCTACATCCATCTTCAGGTATTTCCTGAAAACAGCCATCTCACTGAAATCACTCTCCATTCATCAAAGTGTTAGTTGCTCAGTCGTGTCCGACTTATTGCAACCCATGAACCATAGCCCGCTAGGCTCTTCTGTCTATGGGATTCTCCAGGCGAGAATACTGGAGTGGGTTGCCATTCCCTTCTGCAGGGGATCTTCCCAATCCAGGGATCGAATCTGGGTCTCCTGCATTGCAGGAAGATTCTTTACCATCTGAACCACCAGAGAAGTGGACATTCGTTCATGGGACAGTCTACATCTAACGAATGACTGATCAATATAGGAGTGTACAGGCCTAGCCCACTATCCCCAGGTAAGGCTTAACTCTAAGGGGCCCTCCTAGTTCAGTGCTCACTATGGGGTTAGCTTAGGCTTTCACCGAGTCTGTACTGCAACTTGATTTCTTATTTCCAATTCTCTTCCTTTTCTTCTTTCCTTCAGAAAGGAACACTCTATAATAAACCCAATATGCCCCAATCTCTACCAGCAGAGTCTGCTTCTCATGGAGCCCAATCACTGATTGATAATTTATTGTAATTTATTAAATATGTTTCTTGTTCTAACATCACTATGCCTTAGTTTGCCTTTCAGCATTCTTACTTGAATCATCTTATCGATAATAATGTCTTATCTCATCTCCTTGCCTCTGGTATTACCCACTGAGGACCATAAAGACTTTGCTGAAACAAATTCTGAACACACCACCACCTTGATTAAATTTTTTCTTCTCATTCTCTATTGCCCTCAAGATAAAATCCAAATCCCTTAGCATAATGCAAAAGACCCATCCATGGCTTGGCTCCTGCCCAATTTTAACATTTATCTTCTGAACATGTCTCCATCCCATGTCTTCACAGAGCTTACATTTCAGTGAGAGTAGTACATATTTTTTAAAAAATTGCATGCACAAAAATATGCAGTTACAAGTTGAGATAGAGCTAGAGATAAAAATATAGGGTATAGAAAACATAGGGTATAAAGAGAATGCAAATAGATGAGATCTTAATTTTAATTACAGGGTAAAGAAAAGGCTCTCTGATGAAGTGGTATTTAAGCTGTAATCTGAAGCTTGAGGAGAAATTAGCCAGATCATCAGATAAAGAGTGGGGTAAAGAGGATTCTGGTCATGGGAGACTGGCTGGGTGAAGGCAGTGGGGCCAAATAGAGCTTGGGGCTAATGTGGGTGGAAGACCCTGTACAAGAGGGATGTGAGAACTGCTGAAGGGCACATGAGGCTGAAATATAGTCAATGTCCAGATATACAGGGCCATGCGGACCATTTAATAATCTTCTCCAAAGATCAATGCAAAATCAGTTCAAGATTTTAAGCATCAAACTGACATGATCAAAACTGTACTAACAAAATATAATAAGGACCTAATGTATAGCTCAGAGAACTCTATTCAACACTCTGTGATGGCCCATATGGAAAAATAATCTAAAAATGAGTGAACATATGTATATTGGTTTCCCAGGTGGCACTAGTGGTAAGAAATCTGGCTGCCAATGCAGAAGACATAAGAGATTCAGTTTCAACCCCTGGGTCAGGAAGAGCCCCTGGAGGAGGGCATGACAACCCATTCCAGGGTTCTTGTCTGGAGAATCCCACAGAGAGGATCCTGGTGGGCTTTGGTCCATAGAGTCATACACAACTAAAGCAACTTAGCCTGCATGCATGGACATATGTCTTTGTATAACTGATTCACTTTGTTGTACACCCAAAACTCATCCAGCATTGTAAAGCAACTATAAAAAAAACTATAAAAAAAACTATAAAAAAATCCAATAGATCTTTTTTAAGAAAAGCTGCTATTTGGTGGGAAGAGATTAGAAAAGTATACAATTGAACATGA